TACCTCACGTCCTGACAGACTTACCTTCTGTCCCTTTCCCTCCGCCCTCTCCTTATGTGCAACTAGGAAATACATACGAATGAGCATCAGTAAGAGTACAGACAAAGTATAAGTTGAAGATTTGAAGAGAAATGAACAGGAGTATGAAGACGAACGACAGACACACGCGCACACATGCACGCACGCACGCACGCACACACACACGCACACACACGTACACGCACACGCACACACCCACACCCCCACACCCCCACACCCGCACACCCGCACACACACGCACACACACACACCCACACACCCACACACACACACACCCACCCCCACGCACACTCCCACCCCCGCACACCCGCACACACGCACGCACACACGCACGCACACACACACACTCACGCACACACACACACACACGCACACACACACACACACACACTTTTCTCAGGGGTATCGCTAACTCTGGGCGATGTGGTGTGTGATGAGGCTGAGGCAGAGGCAAGGCAACGAGGCTGGGAGAGAGAGGGAGGGAGTGAGAGCACACACACGCACTCACTCAACATGGCGCAGACTCGACACGACTCGACGGACGCAGACACGAAGTGGCAAAGTCGCAAAGTCGAAGTCTTGGATTTCCGAACACAATGTTGAGGCAAGTCACACCGAAGCACAAGTACTGAGGCCGCAAACTGAATGCCCGTACTGGGCTTGGGTCCGATCTTAAGTATCGGCCTCGAGTTCAGTCCGATGGGCAGAAGTGCAGTTTGCCCCGGGCTGAACTGAAAATCGAAAGTTTGAAAATGGGCGCCAGAATGTCGGATGGCTTAAGTGTTCGAAATCAGAAAAATAAAACAAAGAGAACAATAAAAATAAGAAAACAAAGGAAAGAAAATGTGTGCAGTGAACTGCGGGTAGCGTCCCACGGACCAGGGATCGAGCCCTGGTGCAGTCCGTAACACTATCCGCTCCCTCTAGAAGGCAACGTCCTGGCTGCCAAAAATCATGAAGCAATGCTGAAATCTGTGAAGAACGGGATGGGGCCGATCACTGGTTAACAAGTCGAAAGGGAAGAGGGGTTTAATGTGGGTGGCATGGGCTGCGGGAGTAAGAGGGAACAGGGTTTGGTACTGGTGAACAGGGTTGTCCTACTGATGAACTAGGGGGGGGTGCAGGGAACAGGGTAGTCCTACAAATGAACTAAAGGGATGGCAGGGAGCAGGGTAGTCTACTGATGAACTAAGGGGACTGCATGGTTTGCTATAGGTTAAGGGGGAACAAAGTTCAGGGAGCAGGGAACTTATATTGATGTTCTACTGGGTAACAGGGTATTGCTAACGATGTTCTACAGGGTTGTCAAAGTTGGGAAGGAAAAAAATAAAATAAAAAATGAAAAAAATGAAAATGTTTGTTCAGGATGCAAGGGCTGGTTGTGTCCGAAGAAGCAACATCTCATGTGGGAACAAAGTGTTGGAGTGTCTTGAAAGGAGGACTGCAGCGGTCTTGATCAGGTTTTGGAGTAGGTGGTGGAAGCGGTCTTCAGTTGCTGCAACTGGTAGAAGTCCAAGAAGCGTAGCAGTAGTCCACATGTCCAAAGTCCAAGTGCTAGGGTGTGTCCGGTAGATGAACTGCAATGAGGTCTGATCTGGAAGCAGGTAAGTCGCAGACTGATGCAAGTATCCATGTTGCAAGTTGCTGGTCTAGTAAGTCTGCGAGCCGGGATGCTGGCCAATGAAACAGCATGGTGGCCAAACCAGCTGCATAATCTCCATGAACAGTGAGGTATCGCCGGCGTCACGCAGGTCCACAAGCATTGGACAAGAGAGACAAGGTATTGGAGAGGACAGATGGGACAAGGCTAGGCGAGGGCAGCGACAGATCAGACATCAGGAATCAGGGTCAAGGGGAGGGTGGCTGGGTTCAAGGGTGTGTGTAGCGCAGGGTTGCGAGGTTTTAGCGGGGTTTTATGCCATGGTATCGAGGACATAGGATAAGCACGATCATAGGCGCTGACAAGTTTCATGGCGTTCTTAAGATTAGAGAGAGGTTCCCGTGTAGATTCTTCGTCGGGGTATCCGATCCATTTAATTGATTTTAAAATATTTCTGAATTACAAAAATTCTGAAAAACAATTAATTAAAATTATTTTCGTAATTTCAAAAAAAAATCGAAAAAGAATTAATTAGAAATGTTTTTGAAAAAGATTTTTTTTTTTTTTTTTTATTAATTGTAAAAATGTTTTCGAATTACAATAATTTCGGAAAAGAATCAAGTTAAATTCTTTTTTGAATTTCGAAGAATAAATGCTGAGAAAGAATGATTAATCCTACGTATTTTTGAAATTTTTGAAAAAGAAAATATTTTTGGGAAAGAAATGTCGAGATAGATAATTGATCAAGTATTTTACTATTTTTGAATTTTCAAAAATTTTAGAATGAATTCGAGAAAAGTAATAATAATCAGGGTAACCGGCGTTCGGGACGGGCCGCACGCCCGAACCTGAACGCCCGAACGTATGGGACCCCTTGGGGATGCGTTCGGCCGTTTGGGCCGAACGCGGACCCATAAAAAAAACAAAAAAAACAAAAAAAACAGAAAAAAGTCATCAAAAAAATCTGAAAAAAATATATGTTATGGAAAAAACTAAATTGAACAAGATTTGCCTGAGCATTACATCCGAATTCCTTACCAAATTTGAAATAAAAAGAAAATACGGAAAACAAATACTAATAATAAAAATAAATAAAAATAAAAAGAGAATTAAATTTAGTGAGTGCGCGAGCATGTTTTCGATACCGCCATCTTTGGCGATTTTTCATTTTTTTTTTGGCATAGCTAAATACCCTGAAAATTTACAGATGTGTACTTCACATAATACAAAACCCACTAAAAAATTTTCAAAAAATAATACAATTGTTTAGACCCCGAACTAAAGTGAAAACAAAAAGTAAAATGTGAAAAAATACGTGGGCGAGCACGTTTTGATACTGCCATCTTTGGCGATTTTTAATTCTTATTTGGCTTAGCCAGATGACTTGAAAGTTTACAGGCATGTACCTCACGTCATAGAGAATTCACAAAAAAACATTCAGAAAAAAATTATTATCTTTAGGCCCCGAAATAATTTTTGGCGGGGGCCGAACGCCGTCGGGTTCGGACCGCGGGGACCTCCGTACGTACAGGCTGGTGGCCCTGATAATAATAATAATAATAATAAATAAAGGAATAAATGAGTTTTGATGTAAACCGAGGGCGGAGCGATCCTATCTACGATTGAATGGGTGATGATGATGATGATGATAATAATGATTTGGGGGGAACATGGGGGAAAAGTCGTTCAGGGGGGGGG